TGTTAACTGTCCACAAAAATTAGTTTTTTCTAAAGCTAATTATGCATTGTGATATCATAACAATGTCTTTTGCATATTGAAGAAAAGTTATGTGTTTCCAAAACAAAATAAAATAACAAAGCAAGTGTTCACACCATTTACACAATGTTTGTCTCATGTTTGCTTTCTTTGACTGTGTAACTATTATCAGAAGGACATCACTTGAGTCCATTGGACATTTTGCCCACTTGTATGATGTATCAAAGATTTGAAATCATACAACTGACGTATGTTTAATGAGCTGCTGTTTTTGCAGCGTCAGAGAAAAAGAATAAAACAAGCAGAGTTTGTCATGTTCTTATTCCTGATGAACTATAAATATCTATAATTTGTACAAGTTTGCCGTGAACATAATGATAATTGAAATATTAACTAATTAGAACAAATGTACTTTTCGATGTCGTATTTTCTATTTGTGAAAAAGCAAATTTTTATTGCCTCTTATTGCGCTCTTATGCCTTATTTACATAACAAATGTAACCGAATTTCCCGCTTCAAATGTAACCGAATTTCCCGCTTCATTACCGCGCTGAATACGTCACAAACCATTTTCACGACAGACGTAGAATAAGAATCGGTGCATACTCTTGTAGAGTATTTCTCATTGTAATCCGTCAGAGTCAGACCTATTTTGTGAAGTATATGAGATTTGTACTTCAGAAGAGAGGTTGCTGTGAGAGGTAAGAAAGCTTATTTATTTTATTTGACTCATGTTGAAAATAAATTTCAATTGAATGTAAATCTCCGACCTTAAATGACGATCGATCCTCACTAAAGCGAGTGGTAATAATTTTAGTTTATTGTTGTTATACATGGTGTGTTAAACAGAATGTTTTAAATTTCTTGTTTAATAGTTGTTGTGCAAAAGTTTTGATGTATTTCTTATATGATATACCGTTATGCCTCGTAGAAACTTTGTATGCAATAATTGAAATTGAGGTATTTTTCATCTGCTATAAAATATTGAAACATTTAATGAATTTTCACAAACTATCTGGTAAATAACGCGTACGAAAAGCGTCGTGCGACCCTAAATTTATAGTAAGTTTAATGATGTAAATGTCGTGGATAAGTTAAATGGTGAATAAACAGTAAGTAGCCCAGCAAGTGTCTTAATTCCCTTATTTGCATATTAAATCGTACGTAAGAAAAGTGTCGTGGGACCCTAGATTAATAGGTTAATTTGCATATTGTAAAATTTTTTTGCGAATGTGATCGTTGTGATCATGCGCAAAATTCGACAAATTAAGTTTGACTTTTGAATCGACGTCGAGCCACGTCGTTCTTTGCCGTACCTAATATGAATTAGGTTCGGCACATGAAAAGCACGACGTTTGAACCGTGCTTAAGCGAAAGTCGGTGATCTTTTCTTGTTGCCTTTTCAAGTCAATAAAGACGATTTATGACGACAGTTCTTTTGAATACAAAGGTTCAGGAGTCTTCTGCATCTGAAAATTTCGAAAAACAGACTTTGTTAAACAACTTGTGGCAAAGAACAAACTAAGAGATTGTAATAATTTGACTTATACGAGTAATAATTATAACTTTGCAAAAGCTATCATTGGCTAAAGCACTATGTCTCACGAAATTGGACGAAATTACGCTTGTCGTTGTGGAAGGTTTCTTGCTAAAAATTATTTGCTTTTCGTTGTGGACTGTGTTTCTACGTTCATTAAATCTGAAAATAAAGTTCTTTATGTGCATTTGAAACAAGCAAATGCTAATGTTAAATGTGCAAACAATTATGTAATTTTGTGTTAAGATGGCTTTTGCTAACACGCAGTCGTCCTATTCCATAGCATCATGACTTTCCTTCATAAAACTTACATATGCTCAGAACAACTAAAGTGTAATGTGCCAAATGGTAATTCCAAAACCATGGCAAAAGTTATCAAAGTTTGAAGCATCCTGTTTAGAAAGCTGCTGTAGATGCAAATCAATAGCAATCAGGCAATACAAGAAAAATCGCTATTTGCCCTGATTATAACTGAAGGTAGATTACTGTCATACAAAATGAAATTGTTTTATTTCACGAGTCTTTGAAATTGAACTATTACAAACATCGAGTTATTTTATGAAACACAAAGTCCAATTCAGTGAAGCATGCATGTTCCCATGTATTAAATGATTCAGACAAATATTTTAGATAAAATTAAAGGAAAAGTATCATGTATTTTGACACGACAAAAAGCTGCAGTGAGAAGCAACTACAACATATGCTTGACCGCAGTCTATGCAAGCATCTTTGCCAACTTTACCAAAGCCTATCGCACATTGAACATCAGCATTTGCTTCATTCAAATGCAACTAAACAACTTTATTTTCAGATTACATAGATATAGATACGCTACCTTTAACAAAAAGCAACAAAATTTTAGCTTGAAAGTCTTCTTTGTCGTGATGTTGTTGACAAAACCTTCCGCATAAGTAACCGGTATCCTTCATCTTGTTTGGGTCGACGTTGGTAGAAATTTGTGAGACAGTGCAGTTATTTTCAATGGGCTTGCTTGTCAGCTTTTCGCTAGTAACCGATGATAGATTTTTGCAATGATACTAAATTTTATTAACCATCTCGTACCATTTAAGTCGATACAATCTTTCAGTTTGTTTTGACTTGACGCCGCTGGATGTTGAACAATATCACCTTCATTGTGATTTAATAAAGCAATTTTTCCTAAAATTTCGGAGGCAGAATGCTCCTCGATGCCCGTATTTAATTCCTCAAACAAAATGTCGTCTTTAGTCGTCTCAACTGACTTTGAAAGGCGGCAAGAAACAACAAATATAGATTTTGCATTGTTGTCCATGCATAAACACATGCAAAATATAATACGATGGAAGATTTTATTCGATACCACCTGACCGTGACCACTTACACCACTAGACAATAGATCATGCGCTTTTGGCTGTTTTCTACTGAATTATGTTTCCCATCATATACTTCTTGACTCGAAATATACTTCACATACTTGATAGCTTTTAGTTTGCACAAGACCACAAGTGTATGAGGTGACTCAAGGAATAAAAGCAATTTTCATTTCTATTTTTCTTATTTGTGGTTTCTCAAGAACAGGTACTTTTTACAAGAGAACGCACTTTTACTCGAGCTAAATTTTGTTAGTCTTTATTTAGCTAAAGCTACGAGATAGGTTTGGTTTTATTATTAGTATACTTACTGAATTTGTACAAAATTGCGGGTTTTCAATTTTCAAAGAGTAGTTTAGGCTTATACTTATTGCATTTTTAGGTTGTTAGTGAATTTGTACAAAATTGCATGGTTTGGATTTCTAATGGACAGTACAAGCTAGTTTAGGCTTTTCTGACGTTATGTTCAATACAGTTTAACATCATGTAAATTTTTAAATTGCTGAATTTTGACCTTATGCAGAATGTATCGAATGTTCATTAATTTTAGCTGCCATGCTTTGATCTTGTTTCATACCTTTTTTTGTACAGTTGAAAATTATCCCAAATTTAACTCCAAAATTTTGCGCCCAAGCCCTCACGACATAAGATAGGGATATTCAATTGTCTATTTGAACCTATTCTCACTTCTGTTGGGGGCTATGTTCATACTTGCATGCAATTTTCTACGCTGCTTTATTTATTTTGCGATTCTTGGGAATGTTACAAAAATACTTATTTGATATAACAAGGCGCTCACTCGGCCAGAAAAATGTTTGATTATATTTGCGTCTGGTAATAGTTGTTGTCAAATGCAACGAATTAAAGGCACCACTTGTCTCAGAATCCCTATTTCCTATACTTGTTACACGATCGTGTATGAAATACTTTGGTTGTCTGTAAGATTAGAATCAAATTTTAAGCATTATCAATTAGCTTTTAAAGTAGTGTATTGTATGGAAAAGTTCCGTGAATAAAGACTTCATATCTTGATTTTATACAAACACAGCCATGGATAGGAAGCCTGGTAAAACTTCGAACAACTTGAGAAGCTCAGAAAATGAGCAAAATGACCAAAACAATGGTGACCAAAACTTTCAAGAAAGTCTTGGAGAAATGGCAATGGAAACGGGAAATGGTACTGGAGTTTATCCCATACAAGAGAGCGGTATTGAAAATGGTACTGGAGGTTATCCCATACAAGAGAGCCTTGTTGAGGAATTCAATTGTTCGCCTTATATACCAGAAGAACTTTAAATCAACTTTGGCCCAATGTATCAGAAACTTTATATTTAGAAATAACCATTGTAAGTCAAATGTAAGTCATTTATCTCTATTTATATATTTAAGTATCACATTTTATAACATATTCATTTACACTTATGATGGCATAATTTTTGCCGAAACATGTCTGTAATAAAAAAGTTTGTTTTTTATACTCAGTTTATTTCAATTGTGCTTTTACGTAAACATATTTTTAACCTTGATCATTCATCAACAAGAGCTTAGCAAACTACTTTGTGTTTATTTTGTCAGTTCTTCTCATTATGCTGGCAAGCCAACAAAGGTCAGAGGGTTGAAATGTTCTTGTGAATCCTACTGCCATGCCTTTACATTTATAATTAAAAAGTGAACTTTCAGATAACTTTACAATTGTGGAGTCTACATTCTCTGCTTATTATAAATGCAGTTATATTTCTTTTACTCAAGAAATGTTATGTTAAATGCTCTTTTAGCAATGTGCTAGACTCAGTGCTGCCAGATCGTGAACAAAGTTCACAGATTTGTGAACTTTGTGCTCTCTTCATGAACATTTCATGAACATTAAAAGTTTGTAAACTTTTTGTGAACTTTTCTAAATATTATGCATTTTTGTATTTTCATCATTTTCATAAAGAATGTATAGATAAATCATAGTTCAATGAAAAGAAAATCTTCATAGCTTGACACTTCTTTCAAAACAACGACGATTTGAAGATAATCCGATGTTTTCCGAATATTTCCGAGACTTTTCAAAAAATTTCAAAGGTTTTCCGAGAATGTCCGAATTAATCCGTTAACTTCCGATCTAAAAAATTAGATGTAATATGAACTTTTTGCCATTTTTGTGAACTTTTGACGCAAGCGAGCATGAATATTTTAAAATTTCGAAACTTTGAGTTTATTTTCTTTGTCTTCCTCAGTTTATTGTAAATAAAACGTTATCCACTCTGTGGCATTTCGTTGTTCGTGTCTTATGACAACAATTTTAGTCGCCATTTTGTGGAATATTTTAGTTATTTGTGTTAAACTTGGAAATGTTAACGTGAAAAAAACTGAACCGAACGAAGAAAAAGTAGAAGCAATACATTCATTCTGTGCTTGATCTCATAAGGTTTGTGTCAAGTATGAATAAATATGTTCAAATGTTTATTTTCTGTATGCTCTTGTATGTATGTTTAGGAAATTTTGTTTGTAAAATTAAAGTTAGGATTGTACAGAGCACAGCGATTATTTACGAATAAATTGTCTTGTTCTTTAAGATAAATCGTATTTCACCGCCTACCTATGTTGTCAAAACGACAACAATGAATCGAGAAGAAGGTTTAAAAGCTTTGGAAACTTCAATCAAAACCATTGAAGAAGTCATTATGAACAAGAAAGGTACATTTGTTCTAAGTATAAAGTACCGTCCTTCAAACTTTCTGTTATCAATCTCTGTATCATTTTATTCCATGTGCATATTATGCCCTTAACACCTTGTTATCATCTTCATACCATCTTTGTACCACCACCATGTGATCCTCATATCATACCATATCATCCTCAAACCATCACCACATCATCTTTGTACTACCAACATGTGATCCTCATACCATAACCATATAATCCTCAAACCATCACCACATCATCTTTGTACTACCACCATGTGATCCTCATACCATACCATATCATCCTAGTACCATCACTATATATCATCCTCATGCAATCAACATATTATCCACATACCTTCCCCATACTGTCCTTGAAAGTCATTGTGTGATTTACACATTACAAGTCAATTGTTGATTCAAACCTTCACTTTACCCACAGAATTTTAACCTTGATCATTACTGACCAAGAGCTTAGCAATCTACTTTTGTGTTTATTTTTTCAGTTCTTCTCATTATGTCACATACATGGCAATAAAGATTAGGGGTTGAAATGTACTTGTAAATCCTATTGCCATGACTTTGCATTCATGCAAGAAATTTGTTGATTTGAAATGATAAATTTAAGCTATAAATTTCTACCATTGATTATCATTTTTATCTGTTTAGCCAAAGGTTGTCACAGGTATGGATGAAGCAGATTTTGCAAAGGAACTGGAAAAACTTGAACGTCAAAATGCAGAAGTTGATGGTGATGATGATAATCCTGATGATGAAGAAAAACAAGATGAAGCATAAATGATTGTGGTTTGTTTTAAAACTTGCTGTGTTTTATTTTTATCATACACGACCTGCAGTTGTCTTGAACAACAATTAGTTTAACTTCAAACTCTATTCAAACCCTATACATTACAAACATTAATTATTTTCTATAGACGATCCGAAATAGATATTTCATTGTCAATATTTAACGAGGCAGTTTTTGAAGGTCCCCTGTTCGGGTTAAACTGCAGCTCTGAATTTGTAGTTTGTGTTGAATAGGACATTCGTCATCGTGAAACTATTGTAAATGCCAAGTCGTTGAAATGAAAGCATATTTAGAAAGGAGATCATTAAATTTCATATTGCTAACAATTTCCTACGGCGAAAACTTTCCTTGAACTTTTTAATCATAATTGATCCAAGATTCAAAATATCTTATCAAAATTGGTTATGAATTATGACTGTCGATGCTATAGTTTGTCTGTCGCTTTCCATTGTCTGACCCTGAGTTTAAATTTCATGTTAACTTAATCTCGACGTTCACCTTTTACGTTTATCAGAAGTTATACAGTCAGTGAAGTATGTTGAAAAATTCTAATACTTCTTTCTAACTTTATATATCATCAAATGAAATCGAGAATATTTGAAATTTCAAACGCGGAAGTGTATCATGACGTTAACTGTATTAAAAAGTACAAAAGCTCACAAAACGACAAAAACTTTATGATTATGTCGACATTACGAATGAAGAAAACAATAACATAAAGGAAAATATGGCTAGTTTTATAAAACAATGATGTATCGTATCGCCTATGTATTTCATTTCGTACATTTAAGTATGATGTCATCATTCGTTCGACCCCTTGTTTGGATTTTCATTGGTTTGATAATTCCTCGAGATTTTGATTGGTTGGGGGAAACTGTTTTATTTCCGGTTCAAAGTCAACTCGTTACACTAACTCGTTTTTACACTAACTCGTTTTAACACTCTACTCGTTTTAACAGCTTGCAAACGTACTGCCGTAGACGTTCGCTTTCACAGAGCAAGTGGTTCTTATTATCTGAGACCTATTTCAATTTTCAAAGCGTGCAAACGCGACTTTCAACTTGATTTGTACATTTTTACCTTCGTGGCTAACTTGGATTCAGTAAAAGAGGTTGGTTTAAGAGTTACGATTTACATTCACTAATTTCAGTGTCGTTTATAGCTTTCATGTTTTGCTCCACCATCGTTAAATCATCTCACTAATAATTTAAGTTTATTATTATTATACATGGTGTATCATACAGAATGTTTGAAATTTCTTCTTTATTTGCCATTGAGTTAAAGTTGGGTTATAATTTCAGGATAAATTTACATTGCTCAAAAAAATTATGAATAAATTTTTCAGATTTTCAAACTATCTAACGCGAAATAACTGCTTAACTGCTTCAAATAATGATATAGTTGAACTAGAAACGACAGTAAACTCTGACTTAAAAAATCTTGAAAAGTGGTTGATAGCAAACTAACTTAGTTTGAATTATACCAAGACGTCTGTTTTATCGTACTTCGTATATATAACGAATAATTAGCCACAATGCGCCGCTGGATACCGATCCTTATCATCTGGTATATCAAGCAAGTTTTATTTGAATTTTCGCATCCAGTTAAATTTTGCATGTAATTATTAAAATTTTGCAATTTCGTCACAGAATGCGGAATGTTAAGAATTTCTTTACTTGTAAACATTCCAATTCAGGTGTTAAGTATTAAATTTATCAAACCCGTGGAGTTTCGCCGCTATAAAAACGCCGAGTTGGAAATCCATGCAATAACGGGTTTAGATGTTTTAAATCTTTCATGATCTTTCCTATTACAATCATTTTAAGAAAACTTTTAAAGACTTTTTCAATTTCTTTTACTAGTTAGTTCGTGCTGGTATGTGCTCGCGTGCAATGTAACTTAATTGGGGGCATAGACTGGGTTAGTCTCGTGTGCATTCGCAGAATATCAAAATATCACGTGACCGTATAGCAAACTCTATCTACAATTCAGTCACTCAGTGGCCTGGTCATATGGAGCCGAGTTACCCGGCTGAGCAAGCTCAACCGGGTTTGGCAAAGAGATCTGTTTATATGGCACCGGGTAACTCGGCTAGTACTTCCGTTCATTTGTCTTAAATGAAGTTTGGCAATGCTAACTTCGAGTAAAGGCGCGAGATTTTAAAAAGCCTCACAGTTTCGCAGCAAAAATGGAATGGGTGAATATAAAATTGAAAATTATGATATGTGTATGTTTTTGAATAATAATGCTACAAGTACAAGGCTTAGTACGCATGCGTACCAACAGAGCCAATTTTCTCGCCTCGCCGAGTTACCCGGCAAATGCGTTTATATGGAAAAATTCATCCCGCCTAGCCGGGTAACTCGCTTACACAAACCGAGTTCCCGGCAAGGCGAGTTACTCGGATGTGTCATATAAACGATTCACCGGGAAATGCATTCATTTTATATAAGGGCCGAGTTACCCGGCTTGGCGAGTAACTCGCTCAGCCGGGTAACTCGGCTCCATATAAACAGGCCCTCAGTCACAGATTAGATACGTAACACAAGCGCCACTCGATGTCGGAACCTTTGATGTTCGTTTCCCCTGTTTTGAGTTCTACAATCCGGGTATTTTAAACGGCGGCCATGTTTCCAGACAGATAAGTGCAGCAGAGCCCTCTATAGTATAAGAGTTGGGACATCTATTGTTATCCGTTTAGCTTACGTTGATTGGGCAATATTGATCACCTGATCAATTTCCGCCATTTTGGTTCCTAGTTTTGAAATTTCAGCTAGTGTTTATATAGCAATTGCTGCTAGTAATACAGTATTTTGAGATAATATTGCGTTTTTTTATGGATAAATGTGTAATAACTGATTGTTGAAGACTACTAATTGTCATTACATATCGCAAGAATCGAGGATTACGAAAAAAATTGAAGAAATGCCTTTTCGTCGAACTTACGAAATTTGATTGCGTATGGTGATTGTTGTGCTGAACTGCTTTTGATATAAGGTTCAATTAACTGACTCAAGTAGAGAAACATTTTTGGGCCAAATAACATTGAAAAGTTCGTGCTGATGCAGTTTCAATAGTTTTCTTACTCCAAAGCTTGTTTTTTAATCGAAGATGATTTCTCATTATGTTCTGAAATTGGTCAATCTACAAACCTCTCAATTCTCAGCCACTTCCACACTGAAACAACTACACCAAATCACAGAAACTCTTATGATTTTCCATGTTGTATTTTTATTTTTAGTTCATCATTTAAAATGAAGTAATTATAATTAGGATATTCACTGAAACAGCTGAGTACAATATATTTTGGTAATGAATTGTACAAATGTACCCTACTTCTGTAGCTCAAAGTAGAACATTACTTCTCTTCTAGACTTGTCGATGATGTTTTAATTGTAGGCTTTGGTTTATAAGATCAGAGGCATATCTCCATAATTTCAGCTATTTGGGCTTTTTAATGTATATTACAACTGTTGCTGCCTTTCTCATATATATTAAAATATTGCTGGCTTTCTCATATATATTTAGGTGCTGCTAGCTTTTTGATATATATATTTCACTGGCAATACAAGGCATAGAATTTGAACAAACGGGGCTGAGCTCCCTCCAACACACCCCTGTTTGATCATTAAACACATATAGAAGTTTTGTCATTCCTCAACCAATAAATTTAACTCTTTGCTAAATTAAAGATTGGATCAGACTCATATGCTGTATAAAAGACTACAAACAGTAGCATTTATAGCAAACAGACTGTTCTTCAACAAACAGAAATGTTTCATATTATAGAAATAATATATTCATTTTAAAGAAATGCTTCAGCAAACTTTTCAGCAGAATCCCTAACAAACTTTATTAGAAATAAACTTTAATACTTTATAAAGTGATAAAGGCGAAATAACTTCATATAAAGGAATAAAACGTATAAGGCCAAATGCATCTTGGTCAAATCATTGCATATTTCAATAACTAAAAAGTAAAGTCTGTCATTTTCTGCTGAGCAGGAAAATTTTGTGATCTTTCAGAATAAAAAATATCATGCTTGGATTAAATTGGGGGGGCATAAATCACTCACTACCATTAAATTGTTACAAATCTTGAACACAGATCTTTCCGGACCAAAACTGCATGATTACTATGATTCGAAGTTTCGAACAAAGTCTTGTCCAAGTATTTGATAACACTGATGCCAGGATAACATTGCCGCTTGCCACCAAGCTTAAAGATCTTGAAAACTTGTTACAGAGTCGGAACATAAGCCGAGAAAACACGTTCACGTACGAAAAATACTTCTTACAATGGGTCACGATCAATTTGAAGCACGAACTAGTAAACCGCAAACGAAGCTCAAACCAATGAAATTAAATCAGGTCTGCCGCAAATCGTTAAAAAAACGCAAAGAGCTTGCTATTATTCCTAATATATTTGATACTACCATGGAATAAGCTTAAATTGCCTTCTTCTTTTGCATATAAACCCAATTTCCAATAGTATTATTATAGTTTAACTTTGCAAGTAGGAACCAAAATGGCGGCTCCGCGCTCGCCCCAGACCGTTTGTCCCAACTCTTACTAATAGAGGGCTCTGAAGTGCAGCCCATTGAGTTCTATAATATATATATTTGTATATAATGGACGTAGATACGCTACCATAAACAAAAAGCAACAAAATTTTAGCTTGAAAGTTTACATTGTCGTGATGTTGTTGACAAAACCTTCCGCATACGGCATAAGTAACCGGTAATTCTTTCTCAATGTATCGATCGACGTTGGGAGAAATTTGTGAGACATAGTGCAGTTATTTTCAATGAGCTTGCCTGTCAGCTTTTCGTTAGTGACTGATGACAGATTTTGCAATAATACTAAGTTTTACTAACCATCTCGTAAAATCCAAGTCGATACAATCTTTCAGTTTGTACTTCGACTTGACGCCGTTCGATGTTGAACAACGTCACCTTCATTGTGATTTAATAAAGCAATTTTTCCTAAAATTTCAGAGGCAGAATGCTCCTCAATGCCCGTATTTTATTTCTCAAACAAAATGTCGTCTTTAGTCGTCTCAACTGACTTTGAAAGGCGAAAAGAAACAACACAATATAGATTTTCCATTGTTGTCCATGCATAAACACATGCAAAATATAATACGATGGAATATATTATACGATACCACCTGGCCGTGACCACTTATACCACTAGACAATAGATCATGCGCGCTTTTGGCTGTTTTCTGTTGAATTGTGTCTCCCATCATATACTTCTTGACTCCCAAATATACGCTGCTTTATTTATTTTGCGATTCTTGGAAATGTTGCAAAAATACTTATTTGATATAACAAGGCGCTCACTCGGCCAGAAAAATGTTTGATTATATTTGCGTCTTGTAATAGTTGTTGTCAAATGCAACGAATTAAAAGCACCACTTGTCTCAGAATCCCTTTTTCGTATACTTGTTACGCGATCGTGTATGAAATATTTTGGTTGTCTGTAAGATAAAAATCAAATTTTAAACATTATCACTTAACTTTTAAAGTCTCGCATGGAAAAGTCTCGTGAATAAAGACTTTTTATCTTCAATTTATACCAGCATAAACATGGGTTGCAAGCTTTGCAAGAAATTCTACAACAACAGATGGTTGAAACATGGGGAGCGTGACGTAAGCAATGGTGAACAAATTGTTCAAGGTTGTCTTGGTGAAGTGACGGCAGGAATAGAAAATTGTAGGAGGCGTCGTCCCATACAAGAGACTCTTATTGAGGAATTCAATTATTTACCTCATGTGTTGGATTTGATAAGAGAATATGGATATTCCATGGAGCTGAATGATTTTGTGTTGAATGTTCAGTCAACACAAGAAGAAGTTTAAATCAGAATGTATTAGTTGCCAACTTTCAGGTCCGTTTTCCAAACGTCGCATTTTACATGAGCCGAATGCATTTAAAACAAAAGAGAACGAGGAATTTCGTCTCAATTTTTTTTGTTTTGAATGCATTCGGCGCATGTAAAATGTGCCTTGTGAAACGGGCCTTAGTATAGAAATAAGCATTCATTATATATTACCGTAAAATAACCATTCACTATATTACTGTAAAAATAACCATTCACTGTATAATAGTGTAAATGCGAACACTTGAAAACGCATCTTGTTTCAAAAACGGAAACTTTCAAGGACATATTTGTTTATATCTTGTGTAGCTAATTGACAATGAATTAATGTAACCATTATTAGTAACCTTACTTTGAACTTTTGTATGTAAAAATGTATTTATTTTTTTTATCTATGTCATTATTAACTTTGAATGAAATGATAATTTTTGGTGTAATCAGTTTCAACAGTGTTTTTAACATCAAACCGTTCACCGTTTTCTCTCGAAGTGTTCCTAATAGACTAAAGCAGTTGATTTCAAAACAAGCCAAATAATGATGGTAAATTCTGGTTATTTAAAAACAGCGAGAAGATATTGTACACTGCTACAGAAATGCAGAATGATTTGATAAATTTTTTAATGTATTTCCCTCGTGTTGAGTGAGACTTATTCAAGCTCTTGACCAATCACCGCAGCGCATTGTGTTTATTTTATGACGCTTGATGACGCCTAGATGACGCCTAAAGCAGCACAACCTGATTGGCTGAAATGCAGTGTAAGGCAATCATTTCTTGAGTAATGGTAAATGTGATATAGTTTTATATTTAATCTGTCCTTTCATCTTTGCTGCCCTGGCATACTTCTGTAGCGTGAAAATTTTTCAACGTAAGTTTATAATGTACTATTTTCATGAAGGCATTTTACACTTCTGTTTTAAGCATTTCGATTCTTATAAGTAAACGTTCAAAGACGAGTTTATTTGAGAGCACGCGGTTTTTGTGAGCACTTTAAATATCGATTTGTGTCATATGTTTAAGTGTGACTTCATGTTTTCTTTATCCGTTCTTCTTCCAGGCTTTTAGGATGAATAAATATCCAATCATTGGGAAACGTGAACGTTTTAAAATCAAGGAAAAGCGAACTACTAAAAACAATGAAGATGTTGAGAAACATGTGACTGTTCTAGGCGACTGGCGTTCCCAATTGCGTACCCTAGACAGACATGAAAGTGCTGATAAAACTGACCGCCACTTAATTCGCTCATTTTATGTTCTTCATCAGTGTCTTGTATTTTGTTGTATCTTGTTGGACAACGTAAAGACATTATTGTCTGATAAAGGCAAACTCACTTATGAAAAGATAAATCAATTGAATGATCTAAAAGTAGATCTCTACAAGTTAACCAAGCTTCTCGATGAAATAAATCTGATCTACAACAATTTTTGTGGCTTTAAGCAAGAAATTACAATTGAGTATGTGTATGAATTTAATCTTGATAATGCTTTGAGTAGTATAGAAAGTGCCATTTCCAATCTAAACCATCCTGAGATAAATGATCTCTTTGACTTGGATATCACCCCAGAAGATGTTCTGTGCTCAGTGCTTGGTTTGAAAGATGAGTTTGCTTGCAGGCTTCTCGAACAAACTCCTTACATGAGAAAACACAAAAGTGAAAAGGTACATTTGCTAAGATTTTTAAAGGAGTTTAAGGAAGAAGACAGCTTAAAAAATCTCAGAGATGGTGAAAATGTTGCTAAAATCTTGTGCAAGATTGGTTTTACAAAGCATCGATCTGAATTTATTGCTAATTGGATAACCAACATGGCAGATCCGAATCACAAACCAATTTTCTCCTGGGTGAAAACTTACATTGAAAATCATTTTAAGTATGATATCTTGTTAAATGATCAAGTTTCATACTTTCCTTTCAAAAATGATAATCAAAATGAATGGTTTACTGTGAATATCACACGTTTTGATGAAGAGGGAAGACATAGTCATCCTATAAATATGATCAATGTTGAATCGCAAGAAGATGCTCTACACCATGTTGGATCAAAAGTTGCTGAACTAAATGAAAATAATCCTGAGACAGAAGTATATTTCCATTGTACTGATCACAAAAGTGCTGTGGATATTCTGGAAATTGGAATTCATCTGGGTTTTGGTCGAAAGAAATCAGACTTCTCTGATGGAGAAGGTTTCTACATGGTAAATAATGCAAAGTTCTCATTAGAGCAATATGGATTGAGCAGTACACATCCAGCCATTATCATGTTTGATGTGAGTCCTCAAAAACTGAGCAAGTTTAAAGGAATTGATTTATCCAGTGCTGAAAAAGAAGAAGATTGGAAATTGATTGTTGAGTATTTTCGCTCAAGTAGCCATGGTATTGGTAATTTACCTAAGAATTTGTTCTCACACATAAGACAATGTGATTACATCCGAGGGCCTGTTTCCCTAAATGGTTCTATTGAAAATAACACATTATCTCAAGGTGTTGAACAAATTTGCATAAAGAAACGAGAATTGGCCAAGCTAATTGGGCATCCATCATCAATTTTAGGAGTGATTTTTCTTAAAGCTCATGAACTGATCCAAAAGGGGAATGAGCTTGGCAGTAAAGATGAAGACCGTGGTATTGCAAAATTGAAGATTGAGCCAATAATAATCAACGAAATGTAAACATGCATTATAGTAATATGCATTTGAAAGTAAATTTTGTAAGATGTCGTAAATCTCAGCAACTTTTAATCTTATAACCGACTAGTGTTATATCCAAGAACAGTTGATAAAACATATTTTATTGTATACTTATATGTAGAAACCAACAGTAGATCATTGTAGACTATGATTATCTTTTTACTATTTATACCTGAACATTGTGACATACTCAAGTTAGGAAACGAACTATTTACTGCTTGTTGTAGATTAGATAATTTGATTTGGCTTTTGTATGATGTCATGATAAATATTAAAAAAATTGGAATTTTTGTTCTTTAGTATTCATTCTGTTAGCATTGTACTTACAGCTTGTTGATGATGCCTTTAGAGTGCTGAGTTTTTTTACTTAAAAAATTTGCAAAACAACACTGGTTTGCCCTTTGTACAACTACACAAATCACAAATGTTTCTTTAAACAAAAATCAGTAACAAAACAAAGTATTAAAGGCAAATAAGCAATATGTTACTGCATAACACGTGATTCAATCCTCTAAGTATTGAATATTTATATATAGTCAATGGCGCGGTATATTTTTTACTTTGTTATTGTGAAATTGAGGGTCAGTGTTTATTTGTTGCTTTTATTGCATTTAAAGCTTCAAATTTTCGACAATGATTTCACGAAAGCGTTGCTACAATGGATTAAAACATGCGAAACAACATATGATATTATTTTTCATTTTATTCGCCGTACTTTGTGGATTTTTACTTGGTGCTTTATTACATGGCAATGTTCAGTCGTCCGTAGATCCAACACCGAAGGAATATGCAATGTACGTGTCTTTTCTTGGTGAGATTTGGGTGAGAGCATTAAGACTTTTGGTTCTTCCTTTGATTGTATCCAGCTTGCTTTTGGCAGTCGCTGAATTGGAGTCAAAACAGAGCGGAAAATTGGGAAGAAGAACATTGCTGTATTATCTTATGACTACAATGTTTGGGGAGTAATTTGTTTATATGCATTTAACCTGGAAATGTTAACGTGAAAGAACCAGAACCGAACGAAGAAAAAGTTGAACCAATACATTCTGTGCTTGACCTTATAAGGTTTGTGCTAAATATTGATAAATTTACTGAGTTTGCGCCCTGCTTTTGCTTTTACTGCGAAAATTTTCTAATACGTATAAGTTACATTTCTATCAGTCAACGACATTGTTTTTAATTTTTGTTGAAAGCAACTTTATTTATTATAACGTAAATGCTACGTTCGCAAAACTGTGCAAGTGTACGAGATTTTCGAGCGCATACGGTAATCGCGTTATCGCAATATTCACTAGATTCTTAATCTTCTATTTGTGACAAACTTCCTTAAGTCCAAGAGGTGGCTATGACTTTTTATACATTATTATATTCATATTTGACACTTTTTTTACTATGCCATACGAACCACATCTACCAAAGTGATAAACACCACAAGATCGTAATGCTATGTTATAGAATACCCGTCCACTTACCATCTACTTATATAATATGCCTTGTTCTTTATACTTTGTTCTTTATTTTGACCATTAAATGACACTAAATGATACTTGATAAATAATAATTGAGAACTAAACGATATTTAATTTAGTGATCAACACCACAAGATCATAATGGTCAATAGTGACGAAAACATGGTCAATTTTTGCAACAGTTGTGTTAATAGGTAATCGCGCCGCGTTGATGAAATCTTGGTTTCATTGCGTTTACAATTCGGTGAATGTTTTCTTTTGCAGGCAAAACGACTGTCGTTTCGACGTGCATTCTATATGGCATAAAACGGAGTCGATTGAATGTGCGGAAGATCGTTTAATATTGAAGTACCTGAACTTGGAAGTCCAACTCTGACTGAATCTTCATGTTGACCTACATACGATACTCTCGATGAAGTCATCTTTTATTCTTTTCATCGTTTAAAAGAAAACACGGGTACGAGAAGTTGGTATGTGGCCCAGAATGTACAGTGGAGCCACGTCATTGAATTTCAGATTCAATTTTTATCGTGCCACGCATACCTTATTATGCATATAATTACCGTAGTGGCAATCATGTTTTTTGACCAATAGGATTGATGAAAATGCTTAGGACCAAACGATTAAAGATAATACATCACGCATTATGCATGTACACACTCATCGCCTTCCCAGGGAAATGTGTTAAACTGGAGACTTGACTAGTTGACTTGATTCTTGTATATTTCTTTACGTGGCTAACTTGGCTTTAAAAGAAAAGGTAGATATGACTTATCTATTTTATTTTACACTAGGTAATAAAATATTTTGCTATTCTTACGATTCGAACCATCCATTTCAACAACGCGTCGTCAAATGATAGTATGAAACAAGTTTCATTCATTTCGGCATTTTTCCTGCTGGATCGTGTTTTCCGATCATTTTAAACTAATTTTGTCTGTTTTTTCCGCTTTTGGAAATTAAAAGTTAATCGATAATGTTTAAAATTTGATTTTTATCTTACAAACAACCTAAGCATTTCCAAATAGTATCTGCAAGGATTATGCAAATTTTTTGTTTTCACTCATCGTCCAATATCATTTTCAGTGTGGACGTCACACTGACTACATAGAAATGTAGATAAAATTGCAGATCTTAAACAATTATTTTATTTCACCCAGTATAATAATTATAAATTAAAATTGTGAATATTTTAAGGCTTGCATGGAAAAGTTACGTGAATAAAGACTTTTTATCTTCATTTTATACCAGCATAGACATGGGTTGCAAGCTTTGCAAGAAATTCTACAACAACAGAAGGTTGGAACATGGGG